GACTTGACAGGAGATTGTCTGCATACTCTCTGTGTGCCAACGTCTGGGTCTCCAGCAATCCAGCCATCCCCCAGCACAGTGTGCTTCAATCAACAACGTTGCTTAGAGACGGTTAAAATGCATAGAAGTTAAAAATAAATACTAATAAATATCTGCTAATTGCTCCAACCAAGCAGACCATTCTTTAAGTGTATGTCAGGACAAATATGCAGTGCATTTCCTTAAAAAAATGCACATTTGCAGTGTTTTATCCCTGGAATTGAACTTAAAAAGGGAGTGAAAGTCCATGCAGGTAATACTTCCAAATGCCAAGTTCCCACTAAAACAGAAATAAGGTGTCTCAGGGTGTAAGCAACCCGCACTGTAGGAATACCCAGTTGGATAAAAGGAGTGCCCCGAGCACCAAAATGCCATGCAGGCAAAACTATCCAGGCACTCATCGGAGTGTACAATTTCCCCCCATTTGTAAAAGAGGGGGGTGCAACCTTCATGCAGAAGGTACAGGTATAGGGGAAAGCTGAGCTCCGTACACTCATGTCTGGAAATCACCTCAATGCAGTGTTGATGTTCTCATTTCAAGCTAGCATGACAATCAACCAGTCCTGCAGGGTGCGGGTACAGCCTCCAAAGCTAGTGCCGAGGAAATGCCGATTCAGATAGCTGCATATAGAGACTAGCTCAACCAGCCTGTAGTGGAAACTTGAATAAAGAAAAGGTAATCTTAAATGAAGAAAAAGGAACTAGTAAAAAATTTAGACTTTTCTCAATAGAGCAGAGAAAAGATGTTCATCCTCCTGAACACTAGCAATAAAAACTACAGATGGTGTGAAAAAACCCTCAACGAACAAAAAAACAACAATATTTGCCCTGCATGGGCAAAGAACAGGGTTCCTTTAAGGCAAACTAAATAGCACTTTGTTATGCAAAACATGCACTTTAACATGCTTTAAATGCTATTGCAGTTTGATTCATTTTAGGGCGAATATGTGGTACCTCCTATATTGGTCATTAAATCAATCCACGTACCTTTGGAGCCCCCTTGGAGTCTAGGCCCAGACTGTACATTGGGGGTCTCAACTAAAACCCCTCGGCTTTCTAGCACAAATATGCACCCTTGTCATTGAAATGTCAAATACAGTACCAGCACCTCTACTGACCACTGACATTTGACAGCAAACTGCCAGAGGCAGTGCACTAAGGGATGGAGTTGAAGTCCAAGTCCATTCCACGTCTATTCCCAGGCCTAGGATCCAAGGGCAATCCAGTGGTACACTGGAATAGATTTACTTTAACACAGGTACTATAAAGTACCAGCACTTCAACATTACCAAATAAACATTTCAGGCTAGGTCAGGGCTTCACATTATGCACTGCATTCAAATGATGGGCCTAGTCTCCTAAAACAGATGGTCTGAGCTTGTTCGACTGCATTTCTCCTTCATTAAATTGAAATGAATCAAATTAAATGAAATCATAAGAGCAGAATATCCACTTTAAGGCTGTATTAAAGGCTTGTTTACAACATGTCCGGATCATGTCCAGACCAGAACAGTTTGTTCCCGGACCAAAAAAGCATCCCAATGTATCCCCATAGTATTTCTGTACTTTGTTCACACCATCAGTCCGTTGCTGTCCAGACGACAAAAAAATAAAAACAAAATTCAATAAAAATACTTCGTCTCATTTTCTCTGGTCTGTGATGCGCTGGAACACATACAAATGCATGCAAACGCACTGGACTGCACCCGTAATCCCATTTTAAGCTAAAATGAAGCAGCAAAACGCAGCTCATTTGCAGATCTACTCACAGATCTGGCCCGGACACCAAGTGAACATAGTCTTAAAATACATCTAGGCATGTGTTTTACAAACAATTGTGTCAGAGCTTTTTCAATAAACGGAGCCAGGTGAGAGACAGAGTCTAGAGGGTGCAAGAGCTTCTAATAATAATAATAATAATAATAAGCATTGATAGACTTCACAAATATTGTGTAATGTAAGGTATGCGTCACTGCTAGGGGAAGCAGAGTTTATAGATGGCATAATAGTAATGGATGCTAGAATTTAATTTGTTGATAACGGCAGAGAATGAGCTTAACAAATGAAGTGTTCAGGAAATTGCATATTACTGCTGCAGAACAGAGTACATTGGGTTTATGAAGGTGCACAGACAATTATGGCTTGCAGTTAGTGCAAAGCAGCCTAGAGCGCGGCAAATAAGATAGATCAGTAAACATATATTTCAGCTGCTGATCTGATTATATGGTATGTCAAATCGATGGTAAACTGGCATGGGCTTGGGTTGTACCAAAATACTTGAGGAATTGTCTGCAACAGTAGAAATTTTATATTTAGCTTATTAAGAACACTACATCTCAGTGTAGTTATTTTCCGATATCAGTAGTGCAGGGGAAAGGCTGTTTGCTGCCTTAACTCCAAGAGGCTAGTTGTACAGGTTAGGTGCCCCTAACTAACAAAAGTAATCTGTATAAAATAAGATTTTTCTACTAATCATAAAGACGGCTTCACTGGATGCTCAAACCAGGACAAGATTAAACCACCAAACAGAATGACTACCTCGGGATGCATGGCTAGCTCTGGCTCTAGACAAAATCAGAGCCAGCTTTCAATTAGGCTTCCTGGGTGATCCCCAACAATATTGTCAGGATCCCTCACTGCTGCGGCATGGCTTTGCTAACAGGGCCCATCGATCTAATCCAGGACATGGGAGTACAAGTCTTATGACCCTCCTAGATACAGTGAAGCATCCACAATAGTTGTGCAAGGGGGAGAGGCCCTAGCTAGAGAACTAACAGGGTTATTCACAAAAGGGTGAAGAGTCTGGAGAAGACAGGAGAAGTGAACAATCTAGGACAACACAGTTGATTTTGGAAACATTTCCAATTCAGTTCACTTTCCATTTCAGCTATGTTGTCCTAGATTGTTCCCTTCTCCAAACTCTTCACCCTTTTGTGAATAACCCTGTTAGTTCTCTTTTGTCTTGCGATGGTTGTAAGGCAATTAAAAACAAAAAACGTACGATCTGCCCATCTTGGACAGGCAGATCGTACTTGCGAAAAATCGTTTCCGATGACCGCAATGCTGAACGAGCAGTGTGTGCTTGCGAACATGCCACACACCCGCCGACAATCGTACGATTCTCGGCGGGTTTTCGAACAGGTTACCAAGATAAAAGTCGTGCAACCGTACAGTAAAAACGGTTGAATGCCTTCTACACACCTTGCGATAATCATACGATCACAGGATTTCCCACGATTATCGTACAATTCGCAAGGTGTGTGGGCACCTTTAGAAAGATCACCTGTTTTTGAACTGAAGCAATCATTCATAAGTTATTCATACAGATGGATAATGTTATAAGTATAATATAGCATATATTGGGAATTTGAGTGTCTTTCTTTGAGTGTATATTTAAACGCCATTTTAGTTTGTGGGTGTGCAAAGAAATCTTACCAATGGAATACGAAAATTACAACAGATCCACAATATAGACCGTGAATGTATTTTATTAGAAAAAAAAATTACACTGGTCAGTACAAAATGCTTATAAAATTACATGTAAATTTTGGCTCAAAAATAGACAATGACAAACTGAAACAATAGCTATAAAATCGGTTTGTTGCGACATTTGCCAAAAAAAAAAAAAACTAGCACAGCAGGATTCTGTAACATTTACCTCAGCATCCATTCTACATACTCCCATTCTGGAATGATATTTGTCATTGGCATGAATTAATCATTGCAAGTTTGTGCAACCGTAAATATATTTTACCCGTGAAGGCAGTAGTTTCCAAAACTGTCAATTACCGTCAATCGTTTAATTTTTGTGGCTATAGTTGGATCAGTGTGGTTAAACCACTTATTCAACCTGTGCTGATGTGAGGTTGGTTACCTACAAAACTTGCACTGTTGGTGGAATTGGAGGACAGGTTTGGGAAACAATGAATCTAAGCAATCCAGCAAAAGCCATAATACAAGTCATTTTCAACAGCAACATGTATTTTAAAATATATTACTCAAATAGAAACATGAGGTTCTGTATGTTTAGTTTAAAAGGCACTTTAGCACCACGACATTAAAAAAAAAAAATTATAGGTATATCGTTGACCCCAAAATCAGTCCAATAATACTGCGACATGGTCGATAACTATTAACATCAGTAACATTTTTTTTTCTTTTCCCCCCCTACAGCACCCAAACTGGATAGTTCATAACCTACCCCCTGAGATAATTCAACACTAAAAAGTGTGGTAGGATGAGACTTTTTAAACCCTCGATTACCAATCACTATTGTTTGGGACCACCTTTCAGCTAAGTGCTGTCATAGAGGATGACTTGAAAAATTCAATTATTTGAAGTATTTCTGTTTTGAATACAAAACAAATGAAAAAAGAAATCCCAGCAGTTCTCTTTTTTTCTAGCTAGTAATGCAGTTTTAACTCCATTCCCTTTTCAGTGAGGTTTTCATAAGGCCATTAAATAAAGCAATTGGAGAGAAGCACTTGATGACAGGCTTGTTTTTGTAGGGTCGACCTAGGTTATTATCCATAAACAAGACTTCAGAAAAAGACCAAGCTATAGCTTTCTCAAATCATACACTTGTACTTTCTAATTCTGGCTAAACAACGGCCTAGGATTACAAGTTTTACACTGTAAAGTATAACACAGGTCATAGAAGTCTATTATTATAACTTACAGCAACACTAAAGTTGTGTAGTCATTGAAAGGAACAGGAAGTGTTATTGTGCAGCAATAATTTGTGGAATACTTTGGCAGAACAAGATCCTAGCCAAAAAAAAAAATTAATTATCACTTCGTCATGAATCAAGCAAGGTGGTAAGCGCAGCTAACTGAAGTGCTCTTGCCAGAAGTTGTTGGGTATTAGCTGTATAAATCCACATATAGTATTCATAAGATCATATGTAGCCCTCTTATATACGGCTTCTTTTTAAACTTTAACTGTGCAAGGAGCTTCCTGATATGCACAATACCAACACATGAAAATAAACTGTTTGTCCCTTGATGTGCAGAAACGCTGGCTTGCGATATTTGCCATATCCTCATTAGTGGTTCTTGATCTTCCATTTCCACGTCAATTATGTCTCAGTAACAAGAGGATCCACTCCATCCCTCTCTGTAGAGATGGCCTCCAGTCCATCCCATCCCAATCTCTGGTTCAGTGCAAACCATTCCTGGTGAGGGACGCATTCAGTCTTTAGCAAGAATCATCTGCTTTCAGTGAAATGTAGATAAAAATTCAGATTCTTCATAGTCATCCTTCAACAGGTCATGCAACGTGGACGAATATCAGCTTCAGCTGGGTTTGGATCAATCTAAAAACACAGTAAGAATTTGCATGAGAGCAAGCCTTCAGGAAGAAACATACATTTGCATAGAAACAAAAAAGGTATACAATCTTAAGTGGGATCACCTAAATTTAATACAGTGCCTGCATCTAATAAAATTAAAACTGAACTCCCGGGCAAATCGCTAAGTTCACCATAGAAATAGATATAATGGAAGTGGTTTTAATTTTTAAAAGGATTCGTGTTTCTGCCCATCCAGTCCTAAATTTTACACAGCCTTATTGGAAATAAAGCTTTCTGGCAAAATAGGTTCCTTCTTTGCTTAATAACTTTTTCTACAGACACACACACATAGAAGCCATGCATGAAACAAAATGTGATCACATTATTTGAAAGAACACTGCAGAAGACACACTGGATTTCTGGAATAACAGGTTTGTTTTTTTGCAATTATCGAACAGATAACAAAATGCATTTAATAGTATATTTAAAAGAAGGTAGCAAATATGAGTGCTTACCTCTGAATATAGTGGAGGGGGCCTGTTCCTGAACTCCTGGATGTAGGCATAAAATGGTCCTTCTAGGATACAACCCATACTGGCATGACGTGGAGGAGAAAGAATGTTTTGGACCTCTTCTTCAGAAACGACTGAGAAGTATTCAGGGGGTGCTGAGAAAGAAAAAAAAAAGATCCCAGACATTATTAGAACACTACTGTAGTTGGTTTCTTAACTCCACTATTTACATTGGAACTAGCCATATGACCTTTCCAACATGTGAAGTGCTCTCCATCAGTTGTACTACTCCTCAGCATGTCATAGCTCACATGATGTAAGAGACGCTTACTCTAGTTTTTTCAATGTAAACCATGTGACTGGTAAGCATAACACAATGGATGGGGAGAACACGATCAAAGATTTTCCAGACCGGAACTATTTAACTGTATGACACTTAGGCCTCCCCATTGCAAGGGAAGGAGTTCAAGTGTTAACTAGGTCTATAGTCATTTTGGTGATGGGTCAATAAGCACGTTAGCAAAACACCTAGTGTTCCGAGTAGTTAAAAAAAGGTATGATTTTCATAAGACCACTGAAGCAGATGGGTGCCCAGAAAAGACAAGAGAAGAAAAACCTGTGAGCTGTAAGCTTATGAAGGCCACTTTTACCTCACAAGGTTTTTAAACTACCTTCACAGGCAAAAAAAACCCGTCTTTTTAAACATTCTGGGGCTGTTTAATAAAAACTAGGGAATGTAACTTTAAATTGAACAAAAGCAAGTTAGTCAACACAGGCCTTTAAGTAAAAAGAACCAAGATTGCCTAAAAAAGAACCAAGATTGCCCTGGTACTTACGTTCAGGTTGCTCTGGAACAGTTCCACGCATCCAGTCAAGATTAACACTGTACTGACTGCCCACACTGGATGTTCTGCTTCCAAATGGATGAAGTGGAATTGTACCAATCACCAGTGGGAGCTCCAAGAGTAATTTTGAGGAACCAGGGATTTCTACACACATCTAAAAATGTAAGCAGAGCCACAAAGTTATACTTTCTGGAAAAAAGACAAATCTTTTCCCCACCCCAAGTTAATTGGCAAGTTAATTTTGTCTTATGAGGAATAATAATAATACCTTTAAAGCATATTCAACTCGAATAATGCGGCACTGTAGGATAGAAGGTCCAAGTGGAGGTATTTTTAGAGCCCGTCCATGCCAAGTCTCTCTTTTCCCTGCAGGTATAGAGTCTCCAGCCAGGGTAGCGACCACAGATTTCTTCTGTTTTAAGGTACCACGAGCAATAAAGGTCTGAGACTGGATAATGGCTGCTTTAGGCACCACAGTGCGACTTGTACAATTGTCAATCTCAGCAAAGATAGGTATGACTTCACCTGTGGGTTAGATTGGAGCACGCCATACGTTAAATGCTGTAACCAGCTTTCAGTGCTAACATTTTGATTATATCAAATAAACAAGACTGGCTTAGACATAGGCAAGAGTCTGGTGTTTGATTAAAATTGTGCTGAAAGAAATATGTAGGCTGCCATTGCTGAACTTCTGCAGGGGACATTAGCTGTCATGCTGATCCCCTGACTTCAGTATTTTATGAGTCACTGACCTGGAACAAGCTTTCAGGCAGCACTCAAAGTAGAGCTGAAGCAATTAGATCAGCATGACAACCAGGTGTTGGACGGCAAAATTCACAAGCACACAAAATTGGCCGCCATGGTATTTCTCTCAAGCCAGGATTCCTTTAAATGCAAATAATGGCAGGTTGATGAACTCACTTACCAGGGGTATATCCCTTTCTGTCAATCTTCGCAGTGACACACACCTGACCCAGGTTACAGTACCAGGCATGTGCAATCTTCTCTTTGGTACCAGCTTGGGGAGCCTAGACAGAAAAATAAGTTTTCATTAGATTCTCTACATTGCATAGGTCTAACTCGGAAATGTTGCATCCAGGTCACAAAGTATATGACGCCCCCCTTCAAACATTTTAGGCAATAACTCCATTTTAGGAAAAATACTTCCCTTTCCAGAAATGCACTACTCTACTCTGCACGCCAGATTACACAAATGTAGTTCTGGTAAAAAAACATTTTAAAGAGTCTAATACAGTTAGTCACATGCACAGACATCCTCAGCACTATCAGGAAAAACCTGTCAGAAAGAAGAGGCTCTCATTAAAAGTATATCTAAATTTGTTCAGTAAACAAGACTTCCCTTCATTTCCTGTCCTGTCCTGTAGACACAACAGGAAACAAAAGCATATCTCTTCAAAGTGAGATAGTTCGTCTTAGACAGTTGTCACCAGAACAGATATCCAGATTGGAAGATTTCCCCGCTATTCCTGTTTTGGTGGCAACTCAAAAAAATTCACATTTTCCTTTATTTTTAGTCCGGGTGAAAATGGTCATCAGAACAGCCAACAAAAAGAAACTAATAATGTTTCTAACCCTTCCAACCACCATCCAAAACCAAAAAAAGGTTTGCATTCAGATATACTTTAAGCTTTGGAAGACACCACTGCCCGATGACGCATTGTTTCCTGTCCCAGAATTAGTACCGCTTTCAGGAGTCACACAGGGATAACCTCCAGTGCATTAGTATTAACAGTTGCAGTTTCTGACTGTCAGTTTCACAGTTTTAAACCATCTTTTCATCTAAAAAATGATCAAGAAGCTCATGGCAGCCTGACCTTAAGGCCTCATTCACACAGGGAAAAGAAGGCCCAGCTGTGGATTCTTGCCAGAGGAATCACAGGTGGTTCTGGACAGCTGCTGCAGGTAAGGACAGATGATCGCCCTTGGATGCAAGCTGGTTGTGTCCAGGGGCAATCATCTGTCCCTAACCGCATGTAATCTATCCATGTGTGATTCTATCTGAACACTGGATGTGGCTGTCGTTTTGTACTGGCTGCAACTGTCTATAACCACGTACGAGTCTTGCTGCAGGAATCCACAATCAGACCGCTTTTCTCCTTTGTGAATGAGGCCCAACAGTCTTGATCCAGTCTAATATCTTACATAAACCAGGTTGGAATTGCTCTAAAATAGCTTGAGTACATTACCAGCATAACTGTACAAGAGTCAAAGTCCAGTTTTGCCAAGATTAAAACTAAATGTTTTTATATTGAATTGATTCAATAACCCTATTCAGTTTTTGCAGGCACGTTTTAACAACGGAGTCAATTCCTAGGAAAGCTGTCTACACGTGCAAACACATAATGCTCTTGCTTACATTAGCATCCAGTGCATTTTACAATGCATGTCTTACCAGCAAATCAGGAGTGTTGATATCAATGGGTTCAATCACGGTAAACTCCTTCTTCGTCTTTTTAACGGTTGACCATGGACGATGCAGTTTTGCTTTGACCCAGTAGCGAACACACCCATGCTTGCCTTCAAAAGAGGTCACCAGGTTTCTGGAAGAAACGTCAGACTTAGGATATCCTTCATTTAAGGAAAACCAGATGTTAAAGGTTAAAGCATCCTATATGTCTGTCTACACACAGACCCTTCCCAGGCAAGAGTCTTTTTTCAGATGCTATCATCTACCCATGTACTATGATTTGCAATTACCCCTTTTCCCAAGAAAATTGAACCTTTTAAAATTATGACTTGCAACTTTTGATATTGGGCTTATTGTATGGTTCCATTTATTCATTTAACTTGGCTAGCTTGTCTGGTCATATGAAATTTAGGTGAAACTATGGGCAAGATAAAAAAAAAACAAAAACAAAAAACATATGATGCCAATATCATTAACCCAGCAGTTTTTATTTTCTGAGCCCCCCTGTAACATAGCTTTACTATCTATTGCTTCTGCTAGTAGATCAGTTATTTTTCCTCTTGATTGACAACCTGCATCATATGTCCCAGCCATACACTGGTAGATTATCCTACCAATGTTCATACGGAAAGTCCTGTCAGAACATTTGATAATGCCAAAGACTTGGTAAATGTCATTCGATATTTTGTTTGACATTTACATCCGATTTTGGAATGAATGGAGTTTTTTTTTTAATTAAAATGTTAGAATTTCGTTAGTTCTACAAAAAGTTTCCAATCTGCTACTTTAATTTTTTCAGTCACTACGGTTGAAATTGATAATTGAATGGACCCCATTAACTCTTTGAAAATACATTTTCGGAACGTTTTTTCAATTCTCTATCGAAATTCTGACTGTGTACTCTCAAGCCTTATGCTATACCAGAATAGCCAATTCACAAACATGGGATCAAAACCCTATCCTAATCTATGCAAATTGCAAGCTGCCACACATTGCTCGGCCTACAGGAGATAGTAGTAACTGGCCATTAATATAAAAAAGCTAAATGTTATTATTGTACTGCTAAATTGTGACATTTATACTCACTCAGGCAGTTGGAAGGTGAAAGGAAACTCGTGTCTTCCTGCTGGCAGAACATTAAGAGTGCCATTGTCTGTATGAGAAAAGAAAGAGAAAATACATGTAATTCTGAGATGCAAGACAAAGATCTAGCAGTATTTCCTGCCACAAACCAAGCTGTTCTCAGATACTTAACTTTCAGTTTACAAAAAAAAAAAAAAAAAGCATATAGAAGATAACTTTAAATTTGTGGTTAGTCACATGTGAGACATTTAAATGGCCTGCAGTGAAAAGGAAAACCACAGACATCAAAAGCACTGCATGGCTAAGAGCTGAACAGTAACATGACGTTCAGCCAACATGTAGAGTGACAGTAGCTCACATCACAGAAAATCCCTTCCGAAATTTGTTCTAATACCTTACATATAAGTAGCAGTGGATTAAGTGTACTGTGGGCGTTTTTTTTAATTCATGGGCACCCTGCCATTTCACTGGGATCATGTATAACGGTCAGTGTACACAGACATTTGTAGTTTGCTTCTAACATGCGTTTGTGAAGCATCTGTGAGGCACATGGTTCCATGTGAGATGCAGCGCACATTGTAATGTACATGTGTAGGTGTAAATTGTGCGATAAAGTTTCCCTTTCAGAACACACCAAAACTGCAGCACATAGATGTGAGCAGCTACAGAAGAAGGGGGTTTCTGCTTCAAATGTATTTACATGCAGCAAAATGCATCATAAAACAGATAGGTGTGACTAGAGCATGAAAGATTTGGAGTGTGGTGTTTACATTTTGAATTAGGTCTTATTTAGGAGTATATTCTGCAGATGGTAGCATATAATACCAGTTATAAGAAGTGTGCATACGTATTAAAGGAACCTTCCCTCAGATGATGCGTCCAGGTATAGGAAGCGTCCATATTGTACATGATCATTTTAAAGGGAACTTATCCTCAGATAACACTTGCAAAGCTGAAATGGACATACTATAAATCCCACTGAAGAAGTCTAGGGCCCCGGACAGCTGCCTACTTTGCCATTAAAGCCCATCTCCAGGATAATGCTAACTCCCCACCAGCCCCACTCTAACTGATCACTGGAGTTTGAAAAAAAATAAAAAAGGGCATGTGATGCTCAGGCCTGGAGACTTCCTTTGTTTACTTCCTGTTGTGATCTTCTTTGGGGGTCCATGTCACTGCCTGCATAACGTAGACACTTTATATTGCCTTCCAGCGACAGGTTCCTCTTAGGATCCAAAAGAGGAGTGATGTCATCACAAGGGGACAGTAGGGGACCAGCTGGGGAGGTGCCATCTGCAGCACTGGGTTATGGTGGTCCCCTGCACCGGAAACAATGCCCACGAGAAACCTGAACGGGGGACTTCGGTATGTATCATTTGCTTCACAAGCTAAAGAAAATCAAATCCCCTGCAGTATGGG